CTGAGGTCAGGAGTTCGACACCAGCCTGGAGACCAAATGGTGAAACCCTGTCTCTACTAAAAATACAAAAATTAGGCAGGCATGGTGGCGCTCACCTGTAATCCCAGCTACTCAGGAGGCTGAGGCAGGAGAATCAGAATCGCTTGAACCTGGGAAGCAGAGGTTGCGGTAAGACAAGTTCGCACCACTGCACTCCAGCCTGGGGGATAGAGCAAGACTCTGTCTCCAAAAAAAAGAAATCAATTTATTCAACAAACCAGAACAATACTAAATGTGTATGCACCCAACATCAAAACTTCAAAATACGTAAAATACATATAACTAAAATTAAAAGGAAAATCCACAATTGTGGTTACAGGTGACAACATTTCTCTTAGTAACTGACAGAACGAGTAAAACAGAAAATAGATAAGCATGTATTACCCTTAACCTAATTTATAAGATACCCAAAAACATTGCAGTGCATTGCAATGCACATTCCTTTCAAGTGGATATGGAATAGTTTACTAAGATAGAACACATTTGGAGCCATAAAATAAATCTCAACAAATTTAAAAGGGAAAAAATACAAAGTATGTTCTCTGACCACAAAAGAATTAAATTATAAATGAATAACAGAAAGATATCTGGAAAATCCTCAAATATCTGGAAATACAACAACACACTTCTGAATTACTAAATGATCAAAGGAGAAATCATTATTAACATTAAAAATACTTGTGCTGAGAAATAATGAAAATGTTATATATAAAAACTTGAGGATGCAGCTAAGATAGTACCTAAGAGGAAACTGTACAATATTAAATGCAGATGTTACAAAAGAAAAGCCAAAAACAAAAAACAAAAAAATTAAACTAAGTATCCTTCAAGTAAGAAAAAGCAATTAAATCCCAAAAGTTAAAAAAAAAAAAACCCGAGAAAAAAATAATACAGATTAGAGCAGATATTACTGAACTATTATAGAAAAGAAACACACAACAGGAAACGAAGCCAAAACTTGATTCTTTGAAATAACTAATGAAATTCATAACCTTCTGGTAAGAATTATCTAGGGGGAAAAAAAAGAAAGAAGGCACAAATAACAAACAGCAGGATGGAAATGGGGCCACACTGCAGATCTCGCAGACAATTAAAAAGAAGAGAAAAAAGAAATTGCCATTTTCCAATCCAGAATGAAATAACAGATTTAAGCAATGATTATTTGTGAACTCTGAAATCACCAGAAGAAAGATTGGTGAGGAATTTTATAATGAAAAAACAAAACACCTGAGCCCACTGCTCAATATGAGATCTCTAAAAGTGTGACAACTAGACATTGTTTCCTGATGTTTTGTAATATGAACTTGACAAAACAACATATGAGGTTTTGTTTTTAAAAAAAATTGAAGCAGAATATAATCAATTCTCCAAATGTGGTTTTCAGTTTACAGAAAGGACAGAGCAAATGATGCCATGAGAATGATGACCACCAAACACAGAATGTGGAAAATTCTCTAAGCTAATAATCCCTTCAACAAATAGATGATATAGAGAAAGATGAAAGAAAGAACCATTGGAGATTAAAAGGAGTTTAAGATCAAAAAGAAAAAAAAACTGTAAACAAAAACAGATTTAAGAGACACATCTACCTAATGAAATGTGTAGACCTTATTTGGATCATGATTCAAACAAATCAACCATAAAAGGTATTTTTGAGATAGTCAGGAAAACTTGGTTCAGTTTCTTTGTTTTTTTGGCTTTTCTTTTGTAACATCTGCATTTTATGTTGTACAGTTTCCTCTTAAGTACTTAAGGACATAGAATGGTAAACTGGAAAGCATTGTTGTTGATTTTGTTAAATGTGATGATATTTCAGTTAGATTTGCTCTAAGTTCTTAACTGGATAAAATATGATGTCCCAAATTTCCTTTAAAATGCCCAGCCAAAAAAAAGCATAAAACTTCTGCAGAGAAAATGACCAGACTGTATTGGGAAACTAAAGAAAAACCTAGATAAATGAAAAGATATACCATGTTTATGGACTGGAAGTCTACATATTACAAAAAGGGCAATACTCTCCAAATTGACCTATAGATTCAATGCAAACCCAATCAAAATCCTAATAGATGTTCTGTTTTGTTTTATTTTGTTAGAATCTGGTAAGCTAGATTTAAAATTTATATGGTAATACAAAGGACCAAGGATAACAAGTCATGCCAAAGAAGAAAAACAAGATAAGAAGACTTGTTATATCAAATATCAAGACTTACTACAAATCTACAGTAATCAAAACAAGGCAGTATTAGCGGAGGGAACCACTGGAAGAGAAGAGAGAGTCCAGACAAAGACTGTAAACAGAGGCTGGACTATTACAGAGGTGGCACTCCAGAACAGTGAGGAAAGAACACATTTTTGATAAATGACACTGTGACATTAGAAAAATGAAGCTAGAGTCATTTTTCAAATGATAAAGAAAAATTAAGTTCAGGCAGATTATAGACTATAGTATATTTCTTTCACAGGAAAAAAAATAAAGGTTTTAAAGCAATATAAAGAACTAGAGAAAAAAGCTTCTAAATGCCCTAAGTATAAAGGAAAATGTCAAAAAATTTAACTACATTAAAGTGAACAGCTTGTGTGCCAGGTACAGTGCTCATACCGTTGAGGCCAGGACTTTGAAATCAGCCTAGACAACATAGTGAGACCCTGTTTCTATGCAAAATAAAGTCACTGGGCATGTGCCTGTAGTCACAGCTACTCAGGAGGCTGAAGCAGGAGGATCTCTTGAGCCCAGGAGTTTGAGGCTCCAGCCATGAACTGCACCACTGCACTCTAGCTGGGTAACAGAGCGAGACTTGTTACCTTGTTACCCAAAGTCTCAAAAAAAAAAACAAAAAAAAAAAAAAAAAAAGAATAGCTTCTGGTCACCAAAAGAATACCACAAAGGGAGTTTAAACACAAGCCACCAGTTGAAAGATGTTTATCATACATAATTAACAAAGGTTTGAAATCCAGAATACACACAGAATTTCCACAAATCAATAACAAAAAGACAACCTATCTTCTCCCTGCCAATTCAACCAAAGATTTGAATAGGCACTTCACAAAAAAGAAATACGAATGTTCAACAAACATGTGAAAAGGTGTTTAAACTCATAGTAAGGAAAACAAAAATTCAGATCACAAAGTGATACCATTATATACACTACCAAACTACTGGATTGGTTAAAATACAAAAATCTGGCAATACCAGTTGGCAGATAAAATGTAGGACAAAGGTAAGGCCGGTGGGCATGGTGGCTCAAACCTGTAATCCCAGCACTCTGGGAGGCCGAGGCAGGTGGATCAACCGAGGTCAGGAGTTTGAGACTAGCCTGGGCAACACAGTAAAACCTCATCTCTACTAAAACTACAAAACTTGGCAGGGCATGGTGGTGGGCACCTGTATTCCCAGCTACTTGAGAGGCTATGGCAAGAGAATTGCTTGAACCCAGGAGGCAGAGGTTGCAGTAAGCCAAGATCACGCCATTGCACTCCAGCCTGGGGGAAGAAGTCAGACTCCATATCAAAAAAAAAAAAAAATAGTAGGGCAAAGGTAGGAGTATAAATTGATGTAACCACTTTGGAAAACTGGCATTGTCTACTAAAGTAGAAGAGAAGCACACACCGTCACACAGCAGTTCTTTCCTGGGTACATGTCCTACAGAAATGCATACTTGTGTGTCCCCAGATACAGCTACAAGACTGTTCACAAGAAAACTGTTTGTAATAGTCAAAAAGCTTTCAACTCTTTAACAATAGTAGTTGGATAAATGTCAGTATATTCAAGAACACTATTAAAAAAGAACAAATTCAAACTATTAATATATGCAAAATCCATAAAAGTAACACATTCTGCATGATTTCACATATATAAAGTCCAGAAACAACAAAATTAAATTACATTATTTGGCGGTAGATAGGTGCCGAAACTAGAAAGACAAAAAAGAAAAAAAGACATCATTCAGGATATCATCATTCCCTAGCAAAAAAGGAGAATAATAATGGACTCACCTGCAACATTAAATGGATGCATCCAGTAACAACCTTGTGAGCTTGCTATGATTTAATAGATGAAAGGGCTTAGCCTATATTTGGCATGGAATGTAACTTTTCTTGTTTCTTTTTCTTTTTAATAGAATGTAATTTTTAAAATTCAGAGTCAGTGAAGGTAAGGAAAGAGTGGTGTAGTTAGGGACTACATGGGGAAGGACAAAAGCAGGGAAGCTCAGAGGACAGTTTAGAAGGAGACAAGCCAGTACTGCAAGTGGCATGAAAAGGTACCTGTAACAGGTAAGGACAGCAGAGGACAGAAGGCAAACCTGAAGGAGGCGAGGGATCCAGGACAGATGGCCTGTCAAAGGGCAGAACAGGAGGAGAGAGACTTTCAGCTGAGAAAGGAGGGGAGAATGCTTTCAAATTCACAGAAGTTTGGGTAGAGTGTAAATGGAAAGAGAAGCCTTAGTTCCTGCTTTCTTGAGGAAATTAAGAATCAAGGTCATCTGCCTAGCCAATGTGAGCCTGGAGTCGAACCCTGCCAACATCACACACAGTGACAATGGAGCATGGCATGACATACTGTCACCGAGGTCCCTGATGCACAGTGCAGTCAAAAAACAAAGCGGGCAGACAGTGCTTCCAACTGATGCTTCTTGGTGCTTCTCAATTAAGGAATGCATGACTTTTCTGAGTACTGTATATGTGAAAGAAACTCAGTTAGCAATCCTAATCACTTAAACACCAGGAAATTCGTCACCATTTCCTTTTATTGTGGTCAGTAAAACAATAACAAAAATAATGAAAAAGCCTAATAAGATGGGACCATTCAGACACAACCCCAGCATCCTGGAGACCATCTGTATCCCACCTACCTCATCATCCATGAAGTCACCTGAAAGCTGTCGCAGAGAAGTGGCCCCAATTGTCAGCTTAAAGCACACAACACAGTTGTCAACACACTGCACAGGCCTAGTTGGACTTACCGGTTGAAGGTGTTCTCGCTGAAGGCATACTTCTCCAGGCGAGTAAGCGGAAGCAGGTTATCCTGGCCTGGAACATCCAAGAAGGCTGTTACTCTCATGCTGTTGCAATCTGGACCATAGTCTTCAAATCCATCTAAAGAGGAAGGGTGGGGGAAGAAAAACAACTCAAAATGGCGCATCAACTGTGACAAGTCACACTTCGGTCAAGACATGGCCTTGTGGCATACTTTCTACCTTCGCAAGAAGCCCTTTCACAGCTAAAGTCTCTCAGAATCACAAAGTGGAGAATTCAGCCAAAATGAAATGGTCAGTTGAAAAACCCCAAAAGAAAAGTAATAGGAACGAGAGTCACAGAGAAGAGCCAGACGCCTTTCTTTTGGTGCAGGCTGTCTAATGCATGGGTGAAGGGAACCACTCCTCTACTAGAGAACTCAGCAAGTTAGCAGATGCTCACCTCTAAGAAAAACAGCCACGTGGGGCTGTGCAAACAGGTTAACGCAGTCAAAGGAAAAACAAATCCGTTTGGC